TGTTTTCGTAGTAGCTGTAGTCGCCCAGGTGCATCGAGTGTACGAAGTGGTCGGTTATATGTCAAATACTAACCTGGCGAGCTTGAACCTGAACTTGGCAACGCTGTTCCTTTAGCCGACAACTGTTCGTGACATTACGTTACAAAATTTTCCGAGCATCCGGGCATCGGCAGGGCAGCCCTCGTAGCGGGAGTTATGGGTTGATTTCCTTCATTTTTAAAAGTCGAGAAAAAAATTTTTTTTTCCGATTTTCTGTCTTTATTAAGCCTTCCGAATACGTGGTTAAAATTAATGACATTATGACTGAATCACCCTGTATTTTTAGAAATGACATCTGGCAACCATATGCTACGTAATATTCTATTTTTAGAAATAATGTAATATTCTATTTTTAGAAATGATGTAATGTTCCATTTTTAGAAATGATATATGGCAACCATATGGTGCTATTTTTAGATATGATGTAATATTCTATTTTTAACAATCATCGACCTCTGGTCGTCTGGGGTCAAGGTAACATCAAGGTCAACTCAAGGTCATCGACCTCTGGTCGTCTGGGGTCAAGGTCATCGACCTCTGGTCGTCTGGGGCCAAGGTCACGTCAAGGACATCGACCTTTGGTCGTCAGGGGGTCAAGGTCACCTCAAGGTCATCGACGGTCGCTCGTCTGGGGTCAAGGTCAACGACCTGCAGTAGTCTGGGGATCAAGGACACATCAAGGTCATGGCCTCTGGTCGTCAGGGGTCAAGGTCACCTCAAGGGCATGTCAAGGTCATCGACCTCTGGTCGTCTGGGGTCAGGGTCATGTCAAGGGCATCGACCTCTGGCCGCCAGGGGTCAAGGTCACGTCAAGGTCATCGACCTCTGGTCGTCAGGGGTCAAGGTCACCTCAAGGTCATCGACCTACGGTCGTCTGGGGTCAAGGTCACTTCAAGGTCATCGACCTACGGTCGTCTGGGGTCAAGGTCAACGACCTCTGGTCGTCAGGGGTCAAGGTCACCTCAAGGTCATCGACCTACGGTCGTCTGGGGTCAAGGTCTGCACATTGCACATGCTCCGCTCAGCACTCATTTATACACTACTAATATATCAGATTAGAAATCATATGTTCCACAATTTATTTTATTGTGAATTTCAAAACTTCAAGCTTTAAGTCGCTTATCCGCGTTATAATAAAGATATTTGATATTATGAAGGCTTTGACAAATAAAAAGTACAACAGTGACAAGTAAAAAGTGGAATGGAATGGTAAACTACATCATTATTACCTTGACTATGCCAAAACATGTCCATAATCATTACTTAACACTTCATTCAATTCAGAGAATCTGGTATCCTCAATTCTTTATTGAAAACTGAAACCTAAACATACTAAAAGTCCCGACGATATTCCTGCTCTCATTATTCGTGACTGCGCGCATGTTCTAGTGGTACCTCTTGCCATTTTATTTAATTTAGCGTTGGGCACGTGTTCACTCCCTAATGTTTGGTAGCCCTCACGAATTTGTCCAATATTTAAGAAGGAAGACAAAAAAAATTGAAAATTACAAGCCCATAGCTATTATAAACAACTTTAAGTTATGGAAATTGCTTTACATAATAAAATGTATCTATACCTTCAAGGACAAATTTCTATTTACCAACATGGCTTTACGGAAAATAGGTCAACAACAAGTAACCTGTTTTGCATAATTCAATTTATTGCTGAAAATATGGGCAACCATATTCAAGTAGCTGTAGTCTATACAGATTTTTCTAATGCTTTCGACAAGTTGGATCATGGCATTCTACTTGGGAAACGAAAACAAGCAGGGTTATCCCCTTGTCTCGTGAGTTTTTTAAGTTTTTTTTAACAGGGAGAAAATAATATGTCGAATACCAGGTTTTGTATCTGAAGAAATTTCCGATACACCAGGAGGGCCCCAAGGCTCGATTCTTGGAGTACACATTTTCATAGTTTTCATTAATGATATAATTGAGGAAACAGATGTATCTTATTTACTCTATGCGGATGAAGTAAAAATTTACTGTCCCATAAATACCTTTTCTAACTGCTTAAAATGCCAACACTGTTAGCGACATAAGCGATTGATGCAATTTAAAACAATCTTCCCTTCAATGCAGATAAATGTAATGCTATGACATTTACGAAGGAAGTATTTCCTTTTGTTTATAACTATAGTGTCTGCGGTATAGTCATGAAATGGAAAGTACGTTCAAGGAAGGGTACAAGATAAAGAACAAATTCTAGAAAGGGTAGAAGAAAATCCCCAAATTATTATTGGTCGTTTGTCAGCAGTTCGCCGCAAAACAGTTTCAACTATACTCCACACGCAGCGGTAACAATGTTTCCATTTTCACCCTGTACAAAATTTGCTTGAACCAGACCGATCGCTGAGTTAACATTTTGTGAACGATTTCTTCAGTTACATAACAGGTATCACACTTTTCTCGGGAGAATTACCTTTACAGATGAAGCTGATTTTACCCGTAGAGGCTCACGTGTGGAGCGAAGAAAATCCAAATGCAATAAAAGAGCATCACTTCCAACATGAATTTTCAGTTAACTTCTGGTGCGGGATTATAGGAAATTTTATTTTGAGGTTTATCGCTCTACCCGCACGGTTGAACGGCCAAAATTATTTAGAATTCCGTCTGCAAGAACTTCCTAGTGCTCTCGAAGACAAGTACTTACCCATTAATACTAGACGACAAATGTGGTTCATGCACGATGGTGCTCCTGCTCATTACAGCCATTTAATGAGATATTATTTAAATCAAGCATTTCCAAACTGTTGGATTGGTCGAGGTAATGACTTTCCTTGACCGGATTTTAATCCGTTAGACTTTTTACTTTTGTGGTCATTTGAAAGGAATTGTTTGCAACTCTGTAACACCTAATACGGGAGAAGAACTTTGAGATAGAATAAAAGACGCCGTACGACAAGTTAGATGAACGTATAATTCGTTTCCTATTCTCAATAGTTTCATAAAACGTTTAAAAAAATGTGTCAAAGAGAATTGTAGTAAAATGAACGCCCTGTATGATTTAACGTAATAGGAACACAATCACTGCATACTGTATGAAGAGAAACTAAGCAACAGCAAATTTTGCTCAAATCGGTTAACTGAGTTTGGAGTTAAGGGGAGAACAAGAAACAAAGAAATATACTTTTAACACCCTGCAACTTTTTTGCGACATTTTTCGCTTAAGCAAGTTTCGACACCATTTGGGCTCTAGATTATACCCTTGAAATATGTAACATTCGTTAGGTGACATCATATACCTTTTTATTCACATCAAATATTGAATATTGAAGAAGAAAAGTAAATTTGAACCGTTCCCCATTACCTTTGTTATCAGCAGCTATAAATCCCAAGATGTTATCATGTCTCAGCATTACTGTTTGATAAATCTCTGCTTCACGAAACCAAGAACGTTCCTCTCTAGAGCTGAATATTTTCACTGCTACATTTTCTCCTCTCCACCTTCCTCTCCATACCTCACCAAATCTACCCTGGCCTATTATTTCCACTAACTGTATTTGTCGGGCTATACTTCTTTGAACCAGTAAAGGTAACCCTACAAAAAAATGCATTATAAACAGTGTGTCCCAAGACTCATCATAGGAAGTTTGAAAACAATAAGAGCTACAAGGTCTATTAAATAGGGAAAGTTTTTAATAGATAGAATTTATCATACAGGGTGTTTCGCAGAAGAACCGACACAGAGCAGGGGCATGTAGGGGAACCCAAAATATAGTGATTTAATGCAACTTAACCTTTACACCAAGCTGCACCCTTGAGAAGTTATAGGCCTTGAAAATGGAGGTTCATATTTCGAAAAAAATCAATCAGTTATAGAACTTAGAAAAACCAAATTTGGTAAATGGTGCGAGTGTACCAAAACGTTAAGTAGAGTTCAATTGAAGCATTTTAAATGGTTAACAAGATATTGCCTGATTTACAGTGGTGGAGGCCTGTAGGCTGAAAATTGGTGGGGGCCTATTCTAGAAAAAATATCCCTTTTGATAGTCTCCCCCCCCAAAAAATAAATTGAATTAAATAAAAGTAAATTTTAACCCACTTTCCCTAGGGATACAAGATGTATAACTAGAAATGAAGAATTAAAAGCCACTTACCCTTGGGGTAATACGATGTAATTAGGTTTCTAAAACAAAAAACGTCGTTTTAAACAGTAAATTGTAGTAGTAATTGGCTAAAAAAAATATTACTGGTAAAATAAAAAAACACTACTAATATAGACACGTTATTTTAAAACCAGTTTTCTAGAGCGACGCAAGGTTTAAAAAAGCTTTAATTTTGCTACCCACTTGATAAATAAATTTGAAAAATTTTTGTTAACATGGTGGGGGCCCCTAGTTGGTAGGAGCCTGTAGGTTGCTGCCTACACCAGCCTATAGGTAAATCAGGCACTGCTCTTGGTACACTCACACTGTATACCAAATTTGGTTTTTCTAATTTCAAGTATAACTGAGGTATTGATTCTTTTCGGAAGAAACCCCACATTCAAGACCTATAACTTCTCAGGGGTGCAGCTTAATATAAAAGTATGTTGCGTTAAATCACCATATTTTAGGTTCTCCTACATGCTCCTACACTGTGTCGGTTCTTATGCGAAACACCCTGTATACAGTGTGGCTACGATTTAGGTGACACAGGCCTATAACTCAGGTGTTAATTGACGAATCCTTTTCAAATGTTAACCACTTATGCAGACCAATGGGGTGGACATTTGAGGATCATTAAACTTACATATATCCATAGGTGTGCGTTAGGGGAAATTAAAAGGGGATTGATTTTTCGGTATTTTTTATTAGCGAATAAAATACGGAAATGCTGATGCCTTAGTCTTAATCAGTATCATCGAAAATATACCCATGTCAAGTTTCATCCAAACCGTATACACAGTTGTACAGAAAATTCATTTAATACAAATGTAAATGATTTAGGTGACACAGGCCTATAACTCAGGTGTTAATTGACGAATCCTTTTCAAATTTTAACCATTTATGCAGACCAATGGGGTGGACATTTGAGGATCATTATACTTACATATATCCATAGGTGTGCGTTAGGGGAAATTAGAAGGGGATTGATTTTTCGGTATTTTTTATTAGTGAATAAAATACGGAAATGCTGATGCCTTAGTCTTAATCAGTATCATCGAAAATATGCCCATGTCAAGTTCCATCCAAATCGTATATAGGGTTGTATAGAAAATTCATTTAATACAAATGTAACTAAGCTAATACAGACTGGATAACAAAAAAAAAATAGGTATAACAAAACTCAGTTTATTTACTTAGTTTCAATGTAGCAGCCATCTCTCCTTATACATTCTTCTGTTACCTTTCTTATATGACGATTTACTTATCGCAACTGTTCACAAGAAATGTTTCGGCATGCCTCTCTTATTCGTCGTTTTAAATCTTCCATGTTTTGTGGATGATTGGTGTAAACTTTATTTTTACCTGTACTCCAAAAATAAAAATCCATTGGTGTAAGGTCAGGAGACCTGACTGGCCAGTCCTGCAGCGGGCTACGAGGCCCTACCCACTTTAACGGAAAATTAGTATTCAGCCAGTTTCTAATTATTCGCGAACTATGTGCAGGAGCAGCGTCTAACATAAAATATAAATTGTCTAGCATCTAGCGGTAGATTGTCCAAAACATCAGTAAATTCCGTTTCCAAAAGACGTAAAAAATTTTGGGCATTTAAAGTTTCTAAAGGGTCCGATAATTCGATCATTAAAAATCGCGCACCAAACATTCACTTTATAAACATACTGATTCTCAGCATTTATTATCCACCTGGGATTGTCTCTTTCCCAATATCGAGAGTTCTGCGTCGATACAACACCATTTGTAGAAAAAGTAGCTTCATCGCTAAAAATTATTTTTCGCCTTGCACCCAGAAAGCATAGTCTAGCCTCCTTAAATTGTCTCCTTCTAAAAGAGTGTGTAAAATTTTTGGTTTAAAGGGCTTCAATTGATTATTTTTTAGACATTTTCTTATGGTCTGTTTGTTTAAATTCAAATTCAATGCCGCATGTCGTATGCTTAGTCGTGGCTTATTTCGGAAAGCATCTAAAATCCTATTTTCGTGTAAGTTTGCTCGTCGGTATTCTTTTGGTCTTACATGTGATACACTACCAGTCTGATTAAATATTTTATTAATTCGTGCTACTGTACTGTAACTTACTGTTCGATTGGGATGGCGGTGATTAAAAATTCTTGCAGCTTCACGCGATGTAACATTTTCTCCAGAAATTCTTATTATTTCAATTTTGTCAGTAACTGATATAATTTCTGCCATCACTGATGTTTTCTCGCAATAAATTATTTTTAAATTCTTTTATTTTAATAACAATCTTGTTGACGGGTTATGTCAAAACAACTAAAAATTATAAATGTCATTTCATTTAAACAAAATCATTTCACATGGATCTCTGGATTTTGCATTACTGTGAATACAATATGCAATGTTATTTTTTGTATTAAACGAATTTCCTGTACAACCCTGTATACGATTTGGATGAAACTTGCCGTGGGTATATTTTCGATGATACTGATTAAGACTAAGGCATCAGCATTTCCGTATTTTATTCGCTAATAAAAAATACCGAAAAATCGATCCCCTTTTAATTTCCCCTAACGCACACCTATGGATATACGTAAGTTTAATGATCCTCAAATGTCCACCCCATTGATCTGCATAAGTGGTTAAAATTTGAAAAGGATTCGTCAATTAACACCTGAGTTATAGGCCTGTGTCACTTAAATCGTAGCCACACTTATTTCAATTATGTCAATTGACCATATTTAATGTGTACACTGCAATATGTTTTTTCATAGGTATTTTATCACAATAAACATTAGGAAAAGTTGTAGGAAGGTCATGTCCCATTTCTACAGCCGCAGTATCCATCAATGAAGGAGAACAAAACAATGTTGTCAAAAAACTGTCAAATAATAATTAAAACGAAAAGTTCAGTAGACAAAAACAGATAGATTTTAGAAACGGTGATAACTTTTGCACGATATACAGGGCGTCCCGCTACTTGAAACAAAAAAAGTCGAGTACAAATAGATGAAAAATTAGTTCCCTGAAAAATTTGTCAACGATAATCCTCTCTTGGTTCAACTTGGTAAAATTAACAATTTAGGAAATATTTGTGATTTTATGTCATAGTGCACGTCGAGCGGGACCTCCATCATTTTTTGTTCTTAATTTGATACCGAACAATTTACAAAAAACATTTTTGAATAGACAAATTTCTTACAAGACGAAGAAGATGGTGAATAATTCATTCCTGCCAAAAGAAGTAGAAAGTTTTTATAATAATAAAAGTTTTTATTTTCATAAATATAAATCATTATTGCTTTGTATTTTTTTTACTATCCTTATCCCCTTGAAATTTTTAGAAGATACGTATTCTTCAATAAAGCAAAAAAAATGAAATATGAGAAAAAGCTAATATTTATAGTAATCAGAAGTAGAATTTATATGGATATTTCTAATTTATAAATATTTAATGTTTAATTTAAGACGGATTAATACCGACAATGTATACATTTTATGTACTTGTCTCGACGAGATACCTAAAATAAAAAAAAATCATCAAACTTTATCAAGTGGTTCTCGAGATAGAGACTGAGCTGAACTTGAAATGTTGAAGGCTAAAATATAGCGCGCCACGAGGGCGGCATTCACGCGCGTGCGTGGGCCCGGCGCTCCTTCTCCCGCGCGCAGGCCGTTCATTAACGTTAACTTTTACTGGTGCTAACATGTTTATTACATGAACTATCAATGTAAAACTTTTTGAAAATGAAAGTTTAACCCTTTCTTTAATAATTGTTTCTAAAATCCCGGTCCGATCCGTCCTATAGTTAATTAACAACGTTATTAAGAAAAAGATTATATTGGGCGATTTCTTTTTTTTTTTTTAATTACCGTAAAAATAAGTTATATTTAATGCAAAAAGAGCGAATTCCCTAGCTGCTTTTGCCTGACCCTGGGACAATTTGTTTATAACGTTGTTTTGTACATCCTACTTTGTTAATTGTAAAGGCCAACTTAATTTCAACTTTTTGATTTTTTTTTTCGATGCGTTTCTATGGATCGATTAGAACCTATATCTACGATATTAATTTCTAAAATTAAGGTTAGCTGGGGCAACAATTTCATAGTCCATCGAATCGGCTTTTGGCACACATGTTGGTTTTTGGATTGACCGTCTTTTACATAAATTTCATCAACATCCATCGTTTTTTTGCAATAATACGCAATTTTCGAAAACCGATTTTTCCGCGTTCGACCTTTATTTAACAGTTAACAAATTGGTGAGAGAAAGTGAAAAAACACGTAATTTTGCAATTTATTTGCAATTTACCAACTTAGCGTCACTCCTTTCGAGTTACTTTTTGATATTATCATTCTACATACGCCTCCCCGACATAAAGTGCAATAAAATGTCTACTAATAATTTTTTCTCCTTCAAACTCTAATTCGACTGGAGTATTATGAAAGGGCACCTCGTCAATAGCGGGATATATGTATAATACTTTACCTGAACCACTACCACTGGTCGTCATTTCAATCATGTGTTTTAAACTAACTCCTTTATGTAAAATAGGATGGTCAGGAGCTTCTATGCTGTCTTCTCCATGTCGCAAGTGATGGTGAATGCCTCTTCTATAATGACTTGTGTGACAAAAATATATTACTCCTATAAGTATGCATACTACTAACGTAGGTATCACTATAGATGCAGCAATTTCAAGTGATGTGAAATATACTGAGCCTGAACCTGTTGAAACAAATCACAATATCAGTTATTTCTTCACAATCTTTTTTTCTCTACAATTTTACATTCGAGAACTTTAAAAAGTTGACAAAAAACGAACAAACAATGAAATATTCAAATTATAACTTACATTAGTTTGCTTTGGCAGGCTATAACTTACATTGAAATATAAGCTTTAAAAAATATTGAGTAGTTTCAATACCTTACAATATTTATCGACAAATAACTTATAGTGTATATCATCGTTTCTTTTTTATTAACTTATTGTTAATTTATGACAATTTTCGAATACAAAATTGTAAAAAAATAAAATAACATCTTTGAAAAAAATAGCTGATTATGAAACATGACCAACCAGAAATACAATGCATCGCTGAATTTTGAATGGTGGTAGTGAAAGAATGAAGCATCACATTAAAAAAATCACACACTTATATTCAAACAGAGAAGCAAAAATGACTTTAAGAAGAATATATTTTCTATTTTCATGTAGCTATTTAAATAAATGGTATAGAAAAGAACAAAATTAAAATCCGAAAATTTCCTTTTCAAAAAATCTCCAACTGACATTTCGATTACTCTCCGAAAAAATATTCATTAAGTTATGCAACTACATGCATCAGAATTTAATGTTGTGTTAAAATCGAGTATTCTCGGTTATCTAGGTACTTCCTATTAAAAAATAACAGAATACAGAGCACTTTTATAACATATATCTTTTTAAAACAGTGGATTTTTTTAAAAGATTTTGTACAGCATTAAACAATTAAAGGATAGATAAAGGTAACAATATAACAGTAAATGAAATTGATGTAACACATATTAGCTCGCATATATTTTTCATGTTTAATGCACGGCAATTAACTTTTTTTGAATAAAAGTGTCTATTCATTAAGCGCTTGTAAATCTATAGGTGAAATCTGGCAACATTGCACATCAGTGTCGCGTGGTGGTAAAAGGTGGGTCAACTGTCAACTGTGCTTAGCACGTATAATACCATAAACATAAATGAACATCAAAGATACAAATAGTCCAAGCATTATAGAGAAATGCTTACAGAAATTATTACCTGGACAAAAAAATATGACCGTATAGAAAATTAAATTCTAAATTGAGTTTCTTGTTCTTTAAACTCGATCCAATATGGCGAACATGGTTAAAAAAAATCGCAAAGTTGAAAAAAACGGTTTTTCTAAAATAACTAAAAAAATACAGCACGGATTGAAAAATTTTAAATGAGAAAGTTGTAGGTTTTAAAAAGATCTATCGACTGATTTTTTGAAAGTATCGATTGCTTTGTTACTTTTCGAGATATATCGAAAAAACCGTTAAAAATCTTCTCTTTTCTCTTCTTCTATAACTCGTTTACATTTACGTGCCCATATTTGCTATTTACTGCAAGCATAGCCCGCGGCAAGCCAAAAAAGTACATTTTTGAAAAATTTAAAAATATTAATTATTTTTCGAGATATATCGATTTTTTGAAAAAAAGGCGCTCTCGAAAATTGGCTAGATCTTCTCAGCGGATAGCCCTACAGTAACGATTTTCGGTTTATTTTCTTCGTAAAGAGTTATATTATCATGCTGTTAAAAAATGTTGACGATTTTATTAATTTTAAGGATCAAAAAATGACTTTGAAAAAGTTGCACTTTTTTGGGTATGTTATTATTTCAATTTTTATTTTATGAAAATGACTTTTAAAGAAAGAAAACTAAACATTTACGGGTCTATTTTGCTTCTAAGGCGAAAATGCTATAATATTCGTGTTTAGCTACCCCAGATTAAGTACAAAAAAATAATAAAAATTGAAATAGTTATTTGAAAAAAACATACCCAAAAAAAGTGCAACTTTTTCAGTCATTTTTTGATCCTTAAAATTAATAAAATCGTCAACATTTTTTAACAGCATGATAATATAACTCTTTACGAAGAAAATAAACCGAAAATCGTTACTGTAGGGCTATCCGCTGAGAAGATCTAGCCAATTTTCGAGAGCGCCTTTTTTTCAAAAAATCGATATATCTCGAAAAATAATTAATATTTTTAAATTTTTCAAAAATGTACTTTTTTGGCTTGCCGCGGGCTATGCTTGCAGTAAATAGCAAATATGGGCACGTAAATGTAAACGAGTTATAGAAGAAGAGAAAAGAGAAGATTTTTAACGGTTTTTTCGATATATCTCGAAAAGTAACAAAGCAATCGATACTTTCAAAAAATCAGTCGATAGATCTTTTTAAAACCTACAACTTTCTCATTTAAAATTTTTCAATCCGTGCTATATTTTTTTAGTTATTTTAGAAAAACCGTTTTTTTCAACTTTGCGATTTTTTTTAACCATGTTCGCCATATTGGATCGAGTTTAAAGAACAAGAAACTCAATTTAAAATTTAATTTTCTATACGGTCATATTTTTTTTGTCCAGGTAATAATTTCTGCAAATTTAACATTAATCCGTGACAGAATGCTTGGACTAAAAGGAAAAGTAATGACTGGTAAGAAAAGCAATTAAAAAGGCGTATGAAACAGATAGAATGAGGATTGATGAGAAAAAAGCAAAATGTGCAAACCGGAGAATCCACGTGATAACTATCAAAAAGCGGTAGTGGGACGTCGCCTTGTCAAATTGAAGGTTATGACAGAAGTGACAGATCATCTATACTGTTCGTTTTGCAAATAGATCAGTTCAATTTTGTTTCAAATGACTATTATATTGCATTAGATCACGACAAATTTATTTAATATTAATTATTGCTATATTTTCGACGAATAATTTTATAGTAATCGGGCTATTCAAATATAACGCGTCAATATAAGCGTTAAATACAGCGTTGCCATATTTCCATTCGTTGGTTCAGATGTTTGTTTAAATTTGTCAAAACGTAATCTATTCATTCCATTATCTCAATTAAATTACATTGTAAGTGCATATTTTAAATGTTATTCTTTTAAAATGATTAGTAATATTTATTTCTTTAATTACAATTTTATTTTCGTGATCCTAACCATTTTTAAGAACAGTATTCACGTTTGATTAAAGTTTTTTCCAATTCCCATAAGAGCTTGTGTATAAGAGCATAATCTTTAATATCATTTTCCAAAAAAACTAATTAGGCAATCGATCTGATATTTTTACACGAGGCAGTTTGCATATTAATTAAAATATATATCAATTTCTTAGCATTTTATTTTCGGTATCGAATCTCCTTAAACCGAGAGTAAAGTTCATGTGGACTTTCTCCAACGTAAAAGATAGAGAAACTGTCACCCGAGACTAACGGAACAGAAAATAATATAATCCAGAGTATGTTCCTGTAACGTTACTTGTCGCCATCGGCTGTCGAACACCGCCGCGCCACCGGTACATTTCGTTAAGGTTGTCGCTCACTTGCTCGTTACAGCACGGCACAGCCCGTTACGTCACAATACGGATTGATATAAAAGAAAGCCATTAAATGCTCATTGTGCATTCAATCGAGTTGTTTTAATTCTATCCGTATTGTGACGGAACAAACTGTGCCTAGGGTTACCAGATCTATTTCATGACAGACCCGGAGACATGACCCGTTTGTTATATCAATTATAAATTGATGCCTATATTATCTGCAATCGGGAAATCTGGGAGACAAATTGTTTGAAGAAATCGATGTTTTAAAAAGGGCGCAATCAGGTAATCTGGGACACATAAAATGTTTTCACGATTTTTCCGCAACGAAGAAAACAGACCCGGAGAAATGACATGTAAACCCGGAGTCCGAAGATGTACCATCAAAACCCGAAAACTCCGAGTCAAACCCGGGGATTTAGCAACCCTAGCTGTGCCCTGCTGTAACGGGCAAGTGAGGGTGTTTGTGACTATAATAAGCGGTTTTTCGTCTAATATTTTATTAAATAAGAAAGTGTTGAACAAAAACATTTCAGAAATATTGATCAGTACAAGACAACAAAGCAAAATTAACATAAGTAAATAATGTAGAGATAATAATAATAATAATGATAATGATAATGATAATGATAATGATAATGATAATGATAATGATAATAATAATGATAATGATAATG